TTTTTTTTCTTTTTATTAAGTTTATTAGTACATTCTATGTATACAGTACAGTTACATTCATTACTGGAATGTCGTACCTTTACATGACAGGTCTTGGTTCTCATTTTTTTTCCCCTTGTTCCTGCCCTCCCTTCACCCCCTCCTCCCCTCCCCATCTACAAATACTTTATTTCCATTTTTTCATTTCCTCATATTTTTTCTTTTCCCTTATTTCCTTCCCCTACCCTTACCATTTTCCCTACACCTTTAGCCCTTTTCTTCCTATTTCATATTGTTAATTACCCCCATTAGGATCTCGTGTAATATTATAGTTTTTCACACCAGAGAAACTATTCGGTATTTACACGTGTGTGGATTAAAAAAAATTTTTTTTTTTTTTGGTACCAGGGATTGAACTTGGGACCTTGTATTTGGGAGGCAGGTGGCAGAACCACTGAGCTAAATCCCAGGCCCTCTAAAATTTTTACATTACCGAGTGTATTGCTCTGTATTTTCTTTCACTTTTGTCCCCCACTATTCAAATAGCAACAAAGACTTTGTGTTCTATATGCTGCCTTTAGGGTAGGGTTATTACATAAAAAATTCTTTGAAAAAGGGGTCACTGCGCAGTATTGAATTTCAAAATGCACCTCCAAAGCCTTCAGAAAATCCAATTGCTTTTAAAAGAAAAAAATTCTCTTGAAGAGGCTGGGCATTTTGAGCAGCAAAGGAAAAAGTTTATGATCAACAATAGACTTGAGAATAAAGAGTTGACTGCCCCCACCCTGTTCCCAAAGCACTGTGAAAAAAGATAACAGGAAGAGATGGAAGATGGCGGAGAGGCTAGAAGGGACCATGTGACTTGCAGCAGATTTCTGTCAGAAGACTCCTCATAGAATTGCCCCCCCGCCACAGGATGGAAGAAGTCATTGGAGCATCAGGAGCTAAACCCATGAGGAATGTCAATATTTTGATCTCTACTAGGCACTAGCTGTCCTTAACAGGCCATCAAAAAATAGCACTAAAGCAGCTATTCCTAAGCCTATGGGTCATCTAGCAACAATGACATCATTTAACACCTTCCCAAATATGCTCAGTAGTATCTGAATTACTCCATGAGTCAAATGACCCTTGCCTATAGCCCAGTGCAAATAAAAGCCACCCATTATCCTGGAAATAGAAGTCCAGATGCCTAGAAATTTGATGATGTTGAAGATAGGAAAAACTGTTCTAGAATGGGCAAACAGGCTTGTCAGATCCCTCGAGTAGTAAAAGTGCCTGGCTTCTCTCTTCAGCACTGTTGGCACAGAGTACTGGCCTATCTGGGTGAAGTTTGCTACACCAGTTATAAACTTGAAAACTGTCAATGCTCCCTGAATAATACCACAATAATTTCCTTCAGCTATAAGTGTTCCCAGGATTTGACTTGAAAAACTGAAGATTCTTCTAGTCCAAAACAAATAGCAATATGAATACATAACTTTCCAACTTAGCTTGTTTCAACTTTGGAAAAACTCCTGTAAACTAACTCTGAAAGCTTTGAGAGTAAAATGTTGATTTAACCTGCTGGGTCTTAGTTTCCTTATCAATTAAGTTGAAAGAGTTGGGTTAGAGGGTTGCTACAATCACCAAGCCTACTATTTCCAGAGTCTTTGGCAAGATTTCAACAAAAATCTTTCACTTTGATTTACAGTATTCCTGTCTCCAGGACTAAAAGCTGTGAAAGTAATGGGCAATCACCAAAAAGACTGAAAAGAGCAGTGAAAAAGAAAACTACATCTATCTAAACAATCTGATCACTTTATCTGTCATCAATGACACAGCCTACAATTAGAATGTGGTTGACTTTGGGAACTCCTACTGCCCTGGGGACTGGCCATAGCCATCTGAATATTGGGCCATATGGGAAGCAAAAGACAGGGATATAAATTAGAGGAGAACGTTGCTTACCAGCTATCACTGAAGAGTTGGCTGGAGAGTCTTATTCATTGTATAATATGCCTCCAATATGAGATAAGTTCTCCCCTCTGACTCTTGTTGGTTTGGGCTCATCTCTAACACCTTAATGACTCTTGCAAGTGATGTGATATCCCTAAGGCTTCTAGAATCCAGAGGTCATAATCAAGGTACTGTAGGCCGTACTAGGCCTCCTGTAGACATGTTTTGTTTAGCCCACTCGGACTTCATGCTTTCTAAGTGAATTGCCAAATTTTGCTGAGGAAAGGCCAACAAGTCCACTGATCTCGGTAGCAGAAGACTGGAGTCTCTGTTCTCCTCAGACTCCAGCAGCTCACCTAACCTTCCCCAGTTCTTGCCTGCCTCTGTAGACACATGAATCTGTAGTCCCCTTTGTGAAGTCACATATATAGATTAAAGCCTATTTCTCTCAGAGGTCTTGAGTGTTCTAGACACTGACAAAATAATATTTTTCAAATTTCCTAAAAGTTCCACATCTTCTACATGGTTAAAAACAGTATTTCATTTAAGTACAACTGGAAACTCTGCACATGAATGGCTAGTTTATTCTGAGATTCCTCAGAATATGTTTAGTAAAACTAAAGCTCAATGAAGAACAAAGTGAAGAGACCAAAGGAGTCAGGGCTGGGAAGATTACTGAGCTTCCTTGTCTTGTGTGACATCTCATATTTGCTTCCCTCCAACACGCTTCACACGTCCACAGGTTATAGCCTGACTTTACCGTATTCTAATTATTTGATTAAAAACCAGTCAGCCTTTCTCACCTGGATAGTTCTACCCCTTAAGAAGAAAACAGCATCATAAATGCTTTGTACAGAGCTCAGTGACTGGGTTCTCAAACTAAGAGCTGCTTAGACAGTTGCTGCCTCTGTTGCCAAACCCTTGGGAGATCATCGGTGCATTTCCCAGGCACAGCATTCATCCAAACTATATGGGAGTGTGTGTGTGTGTGTGTGTGTGTGTGTGTGTGTTCACAGCACAGTCACAATACTTGTAGTTCTTTTCTCTGGAGTGGCACATGGTTAGCCATGAAAATGAGCACAGTGAACTTAAATGCTATAGTGTGCAGAGCAGCTCCCTCTGCAGAGAATCTCTTCCCTAGTTTACACATCAGTGGCAGCTCTCCTTTTCCCAAGCCCATCTCAGTCCTGTCACCCTCAGGTTAATCAACTTCTACAAACATCTACAAACAACTACAACCAATCTACATAAAGTTCAAATCACCTGGGATTCACAAAGCTCCGCCATCTCACCCCAACTCACCTCTCTTATCTCCTGCCACCTGTCCTCTATTTTCTTCCTGTACTCCTTGCTCTTCAGAATTTCTAACGCTTCAGCGCCCCAAAATTCTGTGCTGGTTCCCCAGAAGACCTACGTTTCCATACTGCTATCTTTGTCCCTTCTGTTTGCTCTGCAGGAAGACTCCCAGCCCCTTTTGTCATCTAGTATCAGCAGAACATGTGGCTAAGGCCAACCTGCCTCTCTGGCATAGTGGCTGGACATTGGGAGCAATGCCTGAACAGGTTCACATACGCATGCAAACAGCTATGTGCTGAAAACCCAAATGTTAGCTCCACTGTAGCTTCTGGCGTGAAATTAAGGGGTAGACAGATCACCAAACAGCAGTGAGCAGGGATGTCTCAAGTGTGCAGAATCATATGGCATCACCCAAATAATAAAAGACAGGCTAAATAAATAAACAAAAGACAGGCCTGCTCCTACCTGACCTGACTCCTCAGTTTTCTCTGCCTAGCGTTAAATGTGTGAAATAAATAATCTGTAGACAGATGTGTAGCCCAGCCTGATGAAGCAGGTGGCACCTCTATGTAAATGTTCTCTCAGCATAGGTCATGCCTTCCCCTGGCTCACCCTGGAGGGAAAAACTTGAGAGCAGTAAATATTCACATCAACCAGTGGGTATCCTATCTGCAGGGCAGACACTGGGAAATTCCATTAAAAAGTGCATTTCAGACCATTCATTATATGCTGGGAAGTTTGCTAAGAACGTTGCAGGCATTATTTCATTTCTTTTAAAACTCACAAAACATAAATCATGACAGTTCTTTCAGGAAGTACAGAGATGCTCATGTGTTTGGGACCTACAGATCCTTCTGTGAGTCGGGCACAAATACAGGCAGTAATAAATCACACGTAATATAGCTCTAGAAAATGGCTTTTTGCCATCTCTTTGGCCTGTCCAATCCTTTTCCAGAATGAGAGGGCTTGACACTGTAATTGTTTTTCTGATGCTAGTTAAAGACCTGAAACCAAAGGCTCCAAGTAAGGCTAGAGAGCCTTGGTCTGGAGAGATAGTTTAGAATTTTAGCTGAAAGGGAGTGTCAGAGGGAGGTAGGTTGTGGTGATCACCTGCCCTTCCAAAAGGGAGCAGGATCCATTGAGGATTCTTCAACTGTGATGTGTACCTAGTTCTCTTAAGTATACAGCGTTGGATCATATGTTTAATCACACAAGATGAGCCATTTGCTCAGATTGGTTTGGTAGCTTTGCAGTTTATAAAATGGTGGAAGATAAGCAGAAAGGAAAAAATAATGATTATTTTACATACCGTGTGCCATGCAGTATGAGAGAGAATATTATGCCCATATTTAAGGACGAACAAAGTCAAAGAAAGCTTCTGTCTTCCCTGGCTTTAGGATTTTTAGAAGCTAGATCAAGGAATGGGGTTGGGGGTGCCCTGGATGGAGCCGCCACGAAAGCCCTTTCACTTGGCTAGAGGTTAGGAAGTGCTCATGGCTAATTCCACAGCATGACATAGTGGAAAGAGCTCAAAGCCACAGCACTCTTCTTTCTCTGAAGAAATTCTCCTCTCCAAGCCTCTCCAACTTTTACCTTTTCGTAGACTATGTATCTTTATTGATACATAGTTTTAAAGCCTTAAAATGTGGCTAGACCAAATTGAAATGTGCTGTAAGTATAAAACACAAACCAAATTTCAAAGACTTCTCCCACAAGAGTAAAATATCTCCTTAAAAACTTTTATATTGATTGTATGGTTTCATAGCTCGATGGTACATATAGCTGGGAGCCCCAGCTGAGAATGTATAGAACCAGACATCTATTGCATTGTTCTAGGGTGACCTTCAGGGGCTCAGTCCTGAAAGAAAGCTGCACTGCTGTATCGTTTTACCTATCCATTTCTCTGGAGACACCTGCAATAGCTTTTATCAAATCCTTTGGAGGACCTGCCATTCTCTCCCCCAAAAATTTAAAAAAAAACAAAATTCTTATTTCATGTATCTCTAATAAGAGTCTAAAGTATAAGTGAGCATTAAAACATAGGAAAATAAGAAAAACAGCAGGTCCAACTCTGCAAAGCCAGTGATATTCCCAAGAGATTTAAGAAATGTAACTAGCTGTAGCTTGCCATCCGTATATGAACCATCAGGACTAGAACTCAATTTCTGCCCTCTCATTTGATGTGTTTCCTAGTTTTACTGTCTTTGGATACTAGACTTCATTTCTTTATCATTATTATTATTATTATATTACATTTTTCCCCTACAAAGGTAATATAACTATATAATTTACGAGAGACAGACAATGATGAAGGTGAGTAGAAAACAGAAAATAATATTATTATGTCTTAGTTACTTTTTTCTCATTGCCACAACAAAATACCCAACACCCAAAGTTAAAGAAGGAAAAGTTTATTTTGGCTCCCTGTTTGTAGAGGTTTCAGTCCATAATCAGAGGCTCCACGGCAGGTGGCATGAGAGAAGTATCACCAAGCAGGCAGGAGGCAGCAGGACAGAAGCAGCAGCAGCAAGCAAGCAACAAGTGACAAGCAGCAAGCATGGACCCTCTTTCGGTCCCTTATGTATTATCCAGGCTGCCCTCCCTTAGGGCGGGGAGCACTCACACCCAGGGTGCAGCACCCGTAATCCTAGCATCACACCCTGAAGCAATCCCAGGAGCACATACATGATCTGAGCAGCACACACCCTAGATCCAGCCACCTCTGAAAAGTCCCAGCTATGAATGGGACATCCAGACACAAGCCATGGCATTACCCATAGCCTTGGAGGTAGTAAATCTGTATTCATTTGGCGGCTCTTCCTTCTGGTGTCTGTGTAACTCTGGGTAAGACATTCGAGTTCCGAGTCTGCTGTTTGCTCCGGTAAAAATAAAGATAATCATGCTACATCAGAGAATCTTTCAGAATTAAGAGAAGTATCTAATTGGGATAACTGTTCAAAAGTTATTTTTATTTCTCTGATCCCACCAGCCAAATGCCAACACTGGTGATATTTTTGTATGTTTCTCTACAAATATTTTTTCCATTGAATAAAAATTTGATACTTGTGCTCAGAATATAAACATAATTTGAGCATGCTTTAAAATTTTTCTAATTTTGAAACAATTTTAGGCTCACTAAAACAGTAACATTCCTGTATATTATACATCTAAATTCTCCTATTGTAACATTTTATATAACCACAGTACAATTACAAAAACTGAGAAATTAACATTTTTGGAATACTTTTAACTAAACTACAAGCTTTATTTTGATTTTGACTAGGCTTTCAACTAATACTTTTTCTTTTATTTTACAATTGGGGAAGGTAGTTTGAGACTATGTAAATGTCCTCTTACTTTTCATAATTTTGACATCCATCAGTGAAACTTGCCTTGCTACTATGGTGTGGCAATGATGATTTCCTCTTTTATTCTTTCTACTCTTATTTCTTGAAATTACTTTGCGAAGAGGAGCGGTCCCTTCCAGTCATTCACACAATACCTATTAGATTATTATAGCCTTGTGCATTGAATTTTATTATCTACTCTCTCTCATAACCTTCTTGCTCAGATTGTCCCAGTTTGGGCCAATGGGGGTGCTTAGTTTGGCACTTGTGTCCCTTTAACCCATCCCCACCCATATTTAAACACATTCTTATGTGTGGCACTGCTATATATTCTATGTTATGTCATGTTTTTTCCTATCACAAGTGTTTTCAGTTTGTGGTGTTTTTTTCTCTTTCTTTCCCACTGGTATAATGGATTTCCACCAGAGATGCCCAGGGCAAATATTTCTGTCCTCTCTCACCCAGGTAAAGGTTTCTGTCCTATAGGAGAAATGAGATTGGAATCTAAGAGGAATTTGAAGCCTTTCCTATAGGAATTGCTTTCCTTCTCTCCTTAGTGCCAGGATGGAAATTTTGCAAAGATTCTTTCCAGCCTTCCTTATGAGCACCAGGTGGGTTTGGGGGAGAAAGGTTTCCATGACACAAAAGCTCCCAGCATG